TATTAGTTAAATAAATCTGTCTGTAAAGAATTATTGGAAAAATGACTTGTGTCATGCACAAAGTAGATGTCCTAACCGACTTGCAAAAACTATAGTTTGTTAACAAGATATTTGTGGAGTAGTTGAAAAACTAGTTTTAATGACGCCAACCTAAGTGTATGTAAACTTCCGACTTCAACTGTATGTAATTTTCAGGCACTACTTTCAGTACCGGATAACCCCTTTAATGTGGGATTGTATCTGTTTATCTACCACAGATGTACATTTATCACGGCTGTCATGGTTACGGCTGTTATGTTTTAATAAGGACCCAATTTAGGAAAGTTTTAGATACTGGAATATATATATATATATATTACAGCTGCTACAAACTTAACATCTTTAACTTAGGTCAGGATTCAATCTGATCGCCCCCTTTTCGGCTATGCACCTCAAAGTCAATGTTTCCGCATTCGTAGAGATCACGTTCAAGGTAAACGCTGCAGATGTCGGCTCAATTACAAATGACCTTTAAATGTGGACCTAGCCCAGATCGGAATGAATCTAGGCATTAATCTCTTCCATTTCACCACATACTAGAAAAGACTAACGTCACACTGCAATAAGGTCAGCTTTAATGGTTCAGCTTAAATATTTGAACACAAACTGAAAAGAAACAATGGTAAGTGAACCATTAGTCAGCCTTTTAGTTCATTAGTCAGCCAGCCTTTTAGTTTGTTAGTTCGTTAGTCAGCCAGCCTTTTAGTTTGTTAGTTCGTTAGTCAGTCAGCCTTTTAGTTCGTTATTCGTTAGTCAGCCAGCCTTTTAGTTTGTTAGTTCGTTAGTCAGTCAGCCTTTTAGTTCATTATTCGTTAGTCAGCCAGCCTTTTAGTTTGTTAGTCAGCCAGCCTTTTAGTTCGTTAGTTCGTTAGTCAGTCAGCCTTTTAGTTCGTTAGTTCGTTAGTCAGTCAGCCTTTTAGTTCGTTATTCGTTAGTCAGCCAGCCTTTTAGTTTGTTAGTTCGTTAGTCAGTCAGCCTTTTAGTTCATTATTCGTTAGTCAGCCAGCCTTTTAGTTTGTTAGTCAGCCAGCCTTTTAGTTCGTTAGTTCTTTAGTCAGTCAGCCTTTTAGTTCGTTATTCGTTAGTCAGCCAGCCTTTTAGTTCGTTAGTTCGTTAGTCAGTCAGCCTTTTAGTTCATTATTCGTTAGTCAGCCAGCCTTTTATTTTGTTAGTCAGTCAGCCTTTTAGTTCGTTAGTTCGTTAGTCAGTCAGACTTCTAGTTCGTTAGTCAGTCAGCCTTTTAGTTCGTTAGTTTGTTAGTCAGCCAGCCTTTTAGTTCATTAGTTCGTTAGTCAGCCAGCCTTTTAGTTTGTTAGTTCGTTAGTCAGTCAGCCTGTTAGTTTGTTAGTCAGTCAGCCTTTTAGTTCGTTAGTTCGTTAGTCAGCCAGCCTTTTAGTTTGTTAGTTCGTTAGTCAGTCAGCCTGTTAGTTTGTTAGTCAGTCAGCCTTTTAGTTCGTTAGTTCGTTAGTCAGTCAGCCTTTTAGTTCGTTATTCGTTAGTCAGCCAGCCTTTTTGTTTGTTAGTTCGTTAGTCAGTCAGCCTTTTAGTTCATTATTCGTTAGTCAGCCAGCCTTTTAGTTTGTTAGTCAGCCAGCCTTTTAGTCCGTTAGTCAGTCAGCCTTTTAGTTCATTATTCGTTAGTCAGCCAGCCTTTTATTTTGTTAGTCAGTCAGCCTTTTAGTTCGTTAGTTCGTTAGTCAGTCAGACTTCTAGTTCGTTAGTCAGTCAGCCTTTTAGTTCTTTAGTTCGTTAGTCAGCCAGCCTTTTAGTTCATTAGTTCGTTAGTCAGCCAGCCTTTTAGTTTGTTAGTTCGTTAGTCAGCCAGCCTTTTAGTTCGTTAGTCAGCCAGCCTTTTTAGTTCGTTAGTTCGTTAGTCAGCCAGCCTTACACAGAATGTGAATATTACAACATAGCAATGTCAACCAAGTAGTCTATTTGATAACATATGAGAACATATTCAAGCAATGTCAACAAAACAGCATTCAGTACAATTTTATATAACATATTTACATTACATTTTAGTAGACGCTCTTATCCAGAGCGACTTACAGTTAGTGAATACATTTATTTTTTTATACTGGCCCCCCGTGGGAATCGAACCCACAACCCTGGCGTTGCAAACGCCATGCTCTATCAACTGAGCTACATCCCTGCCGGCCATTCCCTCCCCTACCCTGGACGACGCTGGGCCAATTGTGCGCCGCCCATGAGTCTCCCGGTCGCGGCCGGCTGCGACAGAGCCTGGATTCGAACCAGGATCTCTAGTGGCACAGTTAGCACTGCGATGCAGTGCCTTAGACCACTGCGCCACTCAGGAGTATATTGTTGTTAATAAATGCAATAATACAAAAATATAGTAATCCACTGCTCAGTCTTTTCCAGTTGGCTTATAGAATGAAATTAACACGTTTGGGGACAGCGTCCAGAGCAGTCCTTGGTTTCTTCACACACCATCCTGCCCGTACATGGGTGGATTCCAATCTAATGGAAACGTGTCAATGTGCCTGATCCATAGTGGATGTATAGAGACCTCTACTGGGATATAACCCGTTTTAGCATGGACATTGCCATTGAGGGCTTCCACCATTTTAAAGTAGTCAAGTGGGTGGGACTTCCTATGGGTGCGATCAGCCAATGATCAGAGCATTGTCTTCTTCAAATTGGTTTGCTTAGTTTGTAAATGGCATTAAGCTATATCACCGCCATCAAGTGGCCACAATAACTGAATGACACACAAGATTTAGTTTAAAAGACCAGCCCTGCAAGAGGCGGTAAATCACCAATATTAGATGTACAGAAGATAGACGCCATTATGGCACATATACAAAGTTGAGAACTCTTTCCATCTTTATGGCCTGAGCTCTTCTCTGGGTTGAGAAGAGATGCACCAGTTCTAATACTCATCACCATCAACATTGTTGTAATACCGGTGACGTCCTCTAGGGGCAGTGTTAGCCGCGTTAGTGTTGGGCCTGGGTGGTGATGAGGTCTATGATTGGCGGTTGCTCCAGTCCACAGGGGCGGAGCTTCAGATCTTCTCCTCCTACAGATTTTACAGGGAGGCGGAGCAGGAGAACTGTCAGTTGTGTGTGTGTGTACCTTGACGAGGTCAGCGATGCGTGCAGGGGACTGGAAGACAATCCAGTCATCCTGGTCCTGATCCAGGATGACTGGAAATAGCCGAATCCACTAATTTGAAGGGGTGTCCCAATACTTTTGTATATATAGTGTATTTATCTCGTCTGGTGGGCTCTTGACAGTTATCACTTGACAGTTCACGGCTGGGTTTCCTTTGTAGCTGGTGACTGATGTGGTGTACTCCTCAATGCCATCAGATGAATCTCTGAATATATTCCAGTCTGTGCTAGCAAAACAGTCCTGTAGCTTAGCATCCGCTTCATCGGACCACTTCCATATTGAGCGCGTCACTGGTACTTCCTGTTTGAGTTTTTGCTTGTAATCAGGAATATGGAGGATAGAGTTATGACAGGGACACACACACACACACACACACACACACACACACACACACACACACACACACAGGAAGATCTGGAGACGGACAGGGGCACACAGCATTCACACAGCATTCACACAGCATTCATTTACATTTACATTTTACATTTACGTCATTTAGCAGACGCTCTTATCCAGAGCGACTTACAAATAGGTGCATTCACCTTATAGCCAGTGGGATAACCACTTTACAATGTTTTTTTTTTTTTGTTTGTTTTTTTTTGGGGGGGGGGGGTGGGTTGGAGTAAGGGGGGGGGGGCCGGGGGGTAGAAGGATTACTTTATCCTATCCCAGGTATTTCTTAAAGAGGTGGGGTTTCAAATGTCTCCGGAAGGTGGTGAGCGACTCCGCTGTCCTGGCGTCGTGAGGGAGCTTGTTCCACCATTGGGGTGCCAGAGCAGCGAACAGTTTTGACTGGGAACTATGCTTCCGCAGAGGTAGGGGAGCCAGCAGGCCAGAGGTGGATGAACGCAGTGCCCTCGTTTGGGTGTAGGGACTGATCAGAGCCTGAAGGTATGGAGGTGCCGTTCCCCTCACAGCATTCACACACACTCTCACTCCCTCTCTTCCTCCAAACTCCCCTTCCTCTCCTCCTTCTCTCCATGTCCTTGCTCCCTCCACCCCACTCTCTCTCCCTCTCTTCCTCCAAACTCCCCTTCCTCTCCTCTCCTCTCCATGTCCTTGCTCCTCCACCCCACTCTCTCTCCCTCTCTTCCTCCAAACTCCCCTTCCTCTCCTCCTCTCCTCTCCATGTCCTTGCTCCCTCCACCCCACTCTCTCTCCCTCTCTTCCTCCAAACTCCCCTTCCTCTCCTCCTTCCTCTCCATGTCCTTGCTCCCTCCACCCCACTCTCTCTCCCTCTCTTCCTCCAAACTCCCCTTCCTCTCCTCCTTCTCTCCATGTCCTTGCTCCCTCCACCCCACTCTCTCTCCCTCTCTTCCTCCAAACTCCCCTTCCTCTCCTCCTCCTCTCCATGTCCTTGCTCCCTCCACCCCACTCTCTCTCCCCTCTCTTCCTCCAAACTCCCCTTCCTCTCCTCCTCCTCTCCATGTCCTTGACCTCCCTCCACCCACTCTCTCTCACTCTTTCCTCCAAAATCCTCCTTCCTATCCTCTTCCTCCATGTCCTCTCCTCCTTCTAGCATGGTCTTGTTCCCCACCCCACTCTCTCTCTCCCGCTTCTTCCTCCAAACTCCCCTTCCTCTCCTCCTTCTCTCCATGTCCTTGCTCCCTCCACCCCACTCTCTCTCCCTCACAGGCGTGAATGTGTCCGTTTCTATCCGCTCCATGTCGCTATTGGATTAAAGTTGGGGATTCAGAGCAACACTTCTATGCAAACAGAGCCAGAGGACAGACAGAGAGAGAGAGAGAGAGAGAGAGGTGAAGAGGAGGAGGGACTGCATCAGTTCTAGGATGTATCATGTAGATGACCAGAGGGCAAGTGCATCAGAGAAGAGACAGGATCCAGCTGCATGTCTCACCCTCTTGTTGTTCTCCTGTCTTCACTCTCTCTCCCTCTCTCCCCCTCTCTCCCGCTCTCCCTCTCTTCACCCCCTGTACACCAGCGGCTACCAGACCCCAGGGATGCTACCTCTCTCCAAAATACACATCTTTGTCTTCTCGTGCGCACACACACACACACACACACACACACACACACACACACACACACACAAACACACACACACTAAAACAAAGACTATACATTATACATTGTAGCATCCCTGGGGTCTAATAGCCGCTGGTGTACAGGGGGTGAAGAGAGAGAGAGGGGGAGAGAGGGAGGGAGGGGGGGAGAGAGGGAGGGAGGGAGGGAGGGAGAGTGAAGACAGGAGAACAACAAGAGGGTGAGACATGCAGCTGGATCCTGTCTCTTCTCTGATGCACTTGCCCTCTGGTCATCTACATGATACATCCTAGAACTGATGCAGTCCCTCCTTCTCTTCACCTCTCTCTATCTCTCTCTGTGTCTGTCCTCTGGCTCTGTTTGCATAGAAGTGTTGCTCCGAATCCCCAACTTTAATCCAATAGCGACATGGAGCGGATATAATTTGTATTGGTTTATAATTGGTCCTCTGACAGATGCCCATCTCTGCTCTAACTGATGACATTCAGTGCAGCAGGGTAGAAGAAAACAGAGAGACAGAAAGGCTGGAATTGACTGTTCCTCTTCCCTGGTACTGTGTCTGCGAGCTTTGATCTGCCAGGGCTTTGAGAGGGAGTTAAAAGGCACTGGTTTAATCCAATATTCATCACGTCTAAAAATGGCACCAGAGTTAACCTTTTACCCATTTTCTTTATGGTTTAATGGATTTGATGCAGCAGCGCTGTATGTGTATGCTGTACTGTGTACTCACAATGCTGGTCCTCATCCTGATGTGATAGTTAAACTGTCTCCTCAGCATTCACTGACTTGGGGTGGACACACACCTTCCCATCACCCTCACCCTGGAGAGGAGAGAGAGGCGGATGTATTAGTGTGTGTGTGTGTGTGTGTTCTGTACAGGACGATATGAAAGGGGTTTGTATTAGTATGTACACAGTTCACAAAACATTAGGAACACCTCATTCCATGACATAGACTGACCAGGTGAAAGCTATGATCCCTTATTGATGTCACTTGTTAAATCCACTTCAAAATCAGTGTAGATTGAAGGGGAGGAGACAGGTTAAAGAAGGATTTTTAAGCCTTGAGACAATTGAGACATGGATTGTGTATGTGTGCCATTCAGTGGGTGAATGGGCAAGACAAAATATTTTAGAGCCTTTGAACGGGGTATGGTAGTAGGTGCCAGGCGCACCAGTTTGAGTGTGTCAATAACTGCAACACTGCTGGGTTTTTCACGCTCAACAGTTTCCTGTGTTTATCAAGAATGGTCCACCACCCAAAGGACATCCAGCCAACTTGACACAACTGTGTGGGAAGCATTGGAGTCAACATGGGCCAGCATCCCTGTGGAACGCTTTCGACACCTTGTAGAGTCCATATCCCGACGAATTGAGGCTGTTCTGAGGGCAAAAGGAAGGTGTTCCTAATGTTTTGTACACTCAGTGTGTGTGTGAAGTTTGTCTTATTACAACTCTGTTTTTCAAACAATATCACTGCCTCAAGGCTTGATCGTAATTCTATTTTGCTACCATCTGCTAAGTGTGATGAGTTATTGATGCATCTGTCTGGCTGGCTGAGTTTTGGGCTTATGGTCTGCCGTCCATCGTCGGCTGTGGATCTTCTCAGGTACACATCCATAAGAAGTTGACAAAGAGTACATTTCAGGTCTGAGTGAATTTCACTTCCTCTGCAGAATCCGAGGTATCCTCTTGTCACTGCCAGTGTCTGTCTGTCTGTACTTGTGATGCTGACTCACGGTCTACTGTCCCTGTGAGTGCTATGTATGAGTGTTACTGTAGGTCCCTGCTGACTCACTCTTCTTTCTGTCGCGGTTTGATCACTTTGGGGTAGAGACCTGCCCTGATCAGCTTTTAACGATGGCGCCAACAAAGTTGATGAGCTCAGGGCAAGGGTTGCTTTCCAGAGAGACATCAGGGCCTTTAACATACTTTGTTTCGCGGAAACATGGCTCTCTGGGGATATACTGTCGAAGTCGGTCCAGCCAGATGGGTTCTCAGTTCATCGTGCAGACAGAAATAAATATCTCTCTGGGAAGCAGAAGGGCGGAGGAGGTGTGTGTTTCATGATAAACGACTCATGATGTAATTGTAGTAACATACAGGAACTCAAGTCCTTTTGTTCACCCGACCTAGAATACCTCATAATCAAATGTCAACCGTAATATCTCCCAAGTTAATTGTATTCGGTTATAGTCAGGGCCGTGTATATCCCCTCTCAAGCCGATACCACGACGGCCCTCAAAGAACTTCACTGGACTTTATGCGAACTGGAAATCCCATATCAACTGTTGTACTCGGGCTGCTAAAATACTCGACCATTGCTATTCAAACTTCCGGGATGCTTACAAGGCCCTCCCCCACCATCCTTTCGGCAAATCTGACCACGACTCCATTTTGCTCCTCCCTTCCTATAGGCAGAAACTAAGTCTCGTGCTAAGGACTATTCGATAGTGGTCTGACCAATCGGAATCCACGCTTCAAGATTGTTTTGATCACACGGACTGGAAGTTCCAGGTAGCTTGCGAAAATAATTTTGACGAATACACAAACGGTGACTGAGTTTATTAGGAAGTGTATAGGAGATGTTTTACCCATTGTGACTATTAAAACCTACCGGAAACCGTGGATAGATGGCAGCATTCGGGCAAAACTGAAAGCGCGAACCACCGCATTTAACCATGGTAAGGTGACTGGGAATATGGCAGAATACAAACAGTGTAGCTATTCACTCCGCAAGGCAATTAAACTGGCAAAACATCAGTATAGAGACAAATTGGAGTCGCAAATGAACAGCTCAGACACGAGACGTACGTGGCAGGGTCTACAAACAATCACAGACTACAAAAGGAAAACCAGCCACGTCGCCGACACCGACGTCTTGCTTCCGGAGAAGCTAAACACCTTCTTCGCCCGATTTGAGGAAAACACAGTGCCACCGACGTGGCCCACTACCAAGGACTGTGGGCTCACCTTCTCCATGGCCGACATGAGTAAGACATTTAAGCATGTTAACCCTCGCAAGGCTGCCGACCAAGAGGGCATCCCTAGCCGCATCCTCAGAGCATGCGCAGACCAGCTGGCTGGTGTGTTTATGGAAATATTCAATCTCTCCCTATCCCAAGTCTGCTGTCTCCAATTGCTTCAAGATGGCCACCATTGTTTCTGTACCCAAGAAAGCAAAGGTAACTGAACTAAATAACTATCGTCCTGTAGCACTCACCTCTGTCATCATGAAGTGCTTTGAGAGGCTAGTCAAGGATCATATCACCTCTACCTTATCTGTCACCCTAGACCCACTTCAATTTGCTTACCGCCCTCAATAGATCCACAGATGATGCAATCGCCATCGCAATGCATACTGCCCTATCCCATTGACTATAGCTCAGCATTCAACACCATAGTACCCTCCAAGCTCATCATTAAGCTTGAGGCCCTGGGTCTGAACCCCGCCCTGTGCAACTGGGTCCTGGACTTCCTGACGGGCAGCCCCCAGGTGGTGAAGGTAGGAAACAACACCTCCACTTCGCTGATCCTCAACACTGGGGCCCCACAAGGGTGCGTGCTTAGCCCACTCCTGTACTCCCTGTTCACCCATGACTGCGTTGCCAAGTACGCCTCCAACTCAAGTTTGCAGATGACACAACAGTAGTAGGCTTGATTTACCACAATGACGAGACAGCCTACAGGGAGGAGGTGAGGGTTCTGGGAGTGTGGTGCCAGGAAAATAACCTCTCACCCAACATCAACAAAACAAAGGAGATGATCGTGGACTTTAGGAAACAGCAGAAGGTGCACCCCCCTATCCACATCGACGGGACCGCAGTGGAGAAGGTGGAAAATGTCAAGTTCCTTGGCGTACACATCACTGACAAACTGAAATGGTCCACCCACAGCCTCTTCAACCTTAGGAGGCTGAAGAAATTTGGCTTGGCACCTAAAACCCTCACAAACCTTTACAGATGCACAATTGAGAGCATCCTGTCAGGCTGTATCACTGCCTGGTACGGCAACTGCACCGCCCGCAACTGCAGGACTATCCAGAGGGTGGTGTGTTCTGCACAACGCATTACCTGGGGCAAACTACCCGCCCTCCAGGACACCTACAGCACCTGATGTCACAGGAAGGCCAAAAAGATCATCAAGGACATCAACCACCCGAGCCACTGCCTGTTCATCCTGCTATTTACATTTACATTTACGTCATTTAGCAGACACTCTTATCCAGAGCGACTTACAAATTGGTGCATTCAACTTATGATAGTAGAAGGATTACTTTTATACTATTCCAGGTATTCCTTAAAGAGGTAGGGTTTCAAGTGTCTCCGGAAGGTGGTCAGTGACTCCACTGTCCTGGCGTCGTGGGGGAGCTTGTTCCACCATTGGGGTGCCAGAGCAGCGAATAGCTTTGACTGGGCTGAGCGGGAACTGTGCTTCCGTAGAGGTAGGGGGGCTAGCAGGCCAGAGGTGGATGAACGTAGTGCCCTCGTTTGGGTGTAGGGACTGATCAGAGCCTGAACGTAAGGAGGTGCCATTCCCCTCACAGCTCCGTAGGCAAGCACCATGGTCTTGTTGCTATCATCCAGAAGGCGAGGTCAGTACAGGTGCATCATAGCTGGGACCGAGAGACTGAAAAACAGCTTCTATCTCAAGGCCATCAGACTGTTAAATAGCCATCACTAGCACTACAGAGGCTGCTGCTGCCTATTGAAATCACTGGCCACTTTAAGAAATGGAACACTAGTCACTTTAATAATGTTTACATATCTTGCATTACTCATCTCATATGTATATACTGTATTCTATAATATTCTACTGTATCTTAGTCCATGCCACTCTGTCATTGCACGTCCAGTTATGTATATATTCTTAATTCCATTCCTTACTTAGATTTGTGTGTATTGGGTATATGTTGTGAAATTGTTAGATATTACTTGTTAGATATTACTGCACTGTCGGAGCTAGAAGCACAAGCATTTCGCTACACCCGCAATAACATCTGCTAAACACGTTTATGTGACAAATAAAATTTGATTTGATTTGATTTCTCATTCTCTGAGGGAGAGAGACACAGGAAGAGAGAGGAGTGAGGGTGAGAAAAAGGACAGTTGACCTGAGTTGATGTCAGAGTCTTTGGAGTTCTTGCTGCTGATGAAGCCAGCCCCTAGCAGGTGCTCAGCAAACTGAGCCATCATGTTGTGCAGAATCTACAGACAGACCCACAGAAAGACAGACAGGTCACAGGTTAGATGGATTCTTCTCAATATGAAGCCAAGGCTGCATCCGAATGGTGGTTTGAGCGTGATATCTGACTGGTGAGATATGAGCGAGACCTCTAATGATGTAGGTGGGAAAAGAGGATCTTACTGTGAAAGCATAGATAATAGATGAGGTGGTCACTCTTTGAGTCTCTGGACAGAATTCTTCTCCTCAAGTCCGCTATCTTCTCCTTACCCTGAGAGAGAGAGCGAGAGGGAGAGAGAGATTTGACCACCTGAATGTGTATGTGTGAGCAGGTGTGTATGCCGGCGTTCCTGCGTGTGATTACCATTGGTATGAAGAAGGGGTCCTTGAAGCTGAGAGAGGCAGAGATAGTGAGGACAGGGTCCAGACAGAACCAGCAGAACGCCAAACATAATCAGCTTCCCGATGTGAGGCTCTACAGGCCAGGTGGAACTCCAACGGGGTCAGAGCCTCTGATCGGTCCAGGGCATTGAGGTCCATCGAGGTGTGTGATGGCTAGAGTGACAGCCTCCTCTGTTGGAGGGTCCAGAACTCTGCTATTGGACCCAGCTTGAGGATCTAGAAGAGGTGGGGAGAGAGAATTAGACATTAACTACATTAAAAACAAACTTAGTGAAAAGTCCAACAGCTTGACTTGATCAGAAAACAAAATGTGAAAGAGACCTGTCTAAATGCTAGACCCAACAGGAAGTCCACCTCTACACAGAGAGCAGTAAGTCAACTCTTCTCTACCAGAGGTACTACAGTCTTCCTGGCTTCTTCAGCTTCAGGATGTACTATTGTACTATGTCACCGTGTCCAGTGGATCCAGGACATTAATGTGTGTGTTTGTGTGTTAGAGCTGGACGAAATGGACAAATATCCATATCGCGATAGATTGCATGACTTGCCTTTATATCATTAATGTGCACCAGTTTTTTTTGTATCATCCTTTAAACTACTACTACTAGTTTGATGGTTTTCCCATTAACAATCACCCAGATTAGTTAACTTATTTCATTTAAAACGTCCCATTTCTCTAGTATAGGCTACTTATCGTAATGAACGATATCAGCAAAATGCCTGATATAAATGATCGGTAAGGTCGGTGTCGATAATTGAAGTTTATCGTCCCAGCTCTAGTGTGTATCTGCTGAGGTCAGCTTGTTGACAGCCATCTCCCTCTGAAAGGTGTGATTAGTGCATTAGGTACCTCTCAGCCACCAACACACTGATTAACACACATTATCCCATTAGGGGAATGGGAGACTAGCTATTACAACACCAACTCTGCCTTTATGTTCCCTAACACCAGGATGGAATGGGTGGAAGTTGACAGAGAGACCAACAGATGTTGACAGATTGTGTTGACAGAGAGTGTGTGTTGACAGAGAAACCAACAGATGTTGACAGTGTATGTTGACAGAAAAATGTACAGATGTTGACAGTATGTGTGTTGACAGAAGACCAACAGATGTTGACAGTGTGTGTTGACAGAATAACCTACAGATGTTGACATAGTGTGTGTGTTGACAGAGTGTATGTGTTGACAGTGTACACACAATTGTGAAGAGGGCACGACAGCGCCTCTTCCCCAACAGGAGGCTGAAAAGATTTAGCATGGTTCCCTCTGATCATCAAAAAGTTCTACAGCTGCACCATTGAGAGCATCTTGACTGGCTGCATCACCGCCTGGTATGGAAACTGCAAGGCACCCGACCACAAGGTGCTACAAAGGGTGATGAGTATGGCCCAGTACATCACTAAGGCAGAGCTCCCTGCCATCCAGGACCACTATACCGGTGTCAGAGGATGGCCCAAAAAACTGTGAAAGACTCCAGCCACCCAAGCCATAGACTGTTCTCTCTGCTACCGCAATAGGAGTCGTGGTACCTGTTGGGACCCTGAACAGCTTCTAGCCCCAAGTCATAAGACTGCTTAACAAGGCTGCTAAATAGCTAATCAAATGGCTACCCGGCTACCTGCATTGACCATTTCTTGCACTGACTCTATGCACACACACTGGACTCTACCCAGGTTTTCAGAATGTTTTGCTAATTTATTAAAAATAAAAACTGAAATACCTTATTTACATAAGTATTCAGACCCTTTGACTTTTTCCACATTTTGTTACGTTACAGTCTTATTCTAAAATTGATTAAATACTTTTTCCCCCTCATCAATCTACACATAACAAAGCGAAAACAGGTTTTCTAGATATTTTTGCAAATGTATTACAAATAAAAACATAAATACCTTATTTACATAAGTATTCAGATCCTTTGCTATGAGATTCGATATTGAGCTCAGGAATTGTCCGTAGAGCTCCGAGACAGGACAGTGTCGAGGCACAGATCTGGGGAAGGGTACCTCAAAATTCCTGCAGCATTGAAGGTCCCCAAGAACACAGTGGCCTCCATCATTCTTAAATGGAAGAAGTTTGGAACCACCAAGACTCTTCCTATAGAAAGCTGTCCGCCCGGCCAAACTGAGCAATCGGGGGAGAAGGGCCTTGGTCAGGAAGGTGACCAAGATCCCGATGGTCACTGACAGAGCTCCAGAGTTCCTCTGTGGAGATGGTAGAACTTTCCAGCAGGACAACCATCTGTGCAGCACTCCACCAATCAGGCCTTTATGGTAGAGTGGCCAGATGGAAGTCACTCCTCAGTAAAAGCACATGACAGCCCACTTGGAGTT